GTGTGGTCTGTTGGAAACAGGTCCCAGACAACATGGACACTGGCTTTGCACCATGCTTGCTACCCTCTCTCCAGCTGGGCGTCCTCCTGCCCTAGCAGCATAGGACCAGTGCTCCCAGTACAACATTCTTTCATCTTACAGTCTTCACAAATGCATCTCCTGCAATTCAGAAATCCCTGGGGGGAGGAGAGAGAAGAAAAAGAAGAAAAAGACATTGCCCCAACAGCTCATCTGGATGGGGAATAAAGCTAGGGGGAAGAAACGCAACCAAATAGAAAATGCAGGGCCTTACAGGAGCTTTTCTGACTTCCTCTCCTTTGCAGACCCTCCACCAACCTCAGCTGTAAGAGCAGAGAGGGATCAGAAGGGCATCAGGGGTGGTTTAGAAGTGGCACTCGAGGACAAATCCACTGAGAGCTGCTTTCCATCTCATGTTCTTGTGGGCGAAGGGCGCTCACTCCTGCAACCACAGCATCTCCCGACAAGGGCTCTCCAGTATGCAACACCCCAGGGCACCAGCCCTCGACCCGTGCTCCCACCCTGGAGCTGCTCAGTGCCAGGACCTGCAGGCTCTCCGGACATGAAATAGATAAGTCTGCTGCAGCTGCTAAAAGGATCATTATAATCGGCATGAACTCTTTGCTGCTGGTTGCTGAGCCCCAGCAGGCAAGTTCAGGATCAGACCTTTCTCAGAAGCAATCCCCCTGTCTGAAGTTTCACAGCAAGAAAACCCAGAAGCTGCATCATCAGCTGATAAACCCCAATAGTCCAGACCCCAAGATGCACATCTGCTTGTACTTCTGCTGGTGCTTTTGAGAGCTCATGACAGGTGACCAGGGAAATCGATACCCAAAAAGAGATGGTACAGTTAACCATCCCAGGAGGGGAGGTAAAATGGAGTGCTGCTCCCTCAAGGATGAAAGTTGATTTGCCTCCTCATCACAGAAAGGAAAGAAGGAAAAGAAGGGAGGAAGAATTGGGAGAAGTGCACTGGACATCTGGACTGGGAGCGGGAAGAAGAGGACTGGAAGGGTTGGGAGCGGGGTTTCCTCCTGCCAACTACCTCCACCCCAAATCCATCTGTGGTGGCAGCAACCAGACCTTGCAGGTCTCTGGCACTGGCAGAATGAAAAAGCACGTGGAGGTGGAGCATGCCATCAACCTGCAGCTCTGGCCACGACCTGCTTAGCCAAAGCTGGCTCTTGTGATAGGCCAAAATATATTCAAAACACGGCTGGACAATTCCCAGGTTCAAAGACCCCCGGGGGGTCCCTTCCAACCTAAATGATTGTATGACTCTGCATCTGAGCTCTCAGGTGGCAATAATTCAGAAATGCAAGCAGAGACCTGGAGTCAAGATGTCCTGGGTCTGCCCCCAGCGCTAACATTGCCTCTCTCCAGCACCCGGGGCAAATCATGCAACCTCCATGCCTCATTCTCCCTCTTTACAAAGCAAAGGTGAACTCAAACTGCTTCAAGGCAGACAAGTGAAGAACTGACAGTCTGGCTTACAGCTTTTTGTTCCCCATCTGGGGCATGGGGACAAGAGCATGCTCCAGGAGACACTCAGTACTGTGGCAAGCAGAAGCTACAGAAATCTCTTCCCCAAGTGCTTCCAGGTAGCTGCCTGCTTTGCCCTCTGCAAAAGGCAGCCGCTGAAGGTCTGTCATGCTCCTCAGCTGAGCTTAACTGAGTGGTTCATGAACATTCATTTATTCCGATTAAATCCTTAAGATAGTACAACTGCCTCCAGTTTTCAGAGAGCAGGTAATGGAGGTAAGGAGAAACAACTTGCCCAAGGTCACCCTAGAAGCTGCGCCAGCTTGGCATTCTCTCCACATCTAATTGTCCTGTCTGAAAGATCGTCCATCTTCCCAGCCTGCCTTTTTCCAGCGGTTTCCTTCTCCGGTGCCTTCTTTCTTTTTGCATAATGCATTGCAAAATCTACTTTACATATAGAGCTTTTAGTTCTTAAATTTATTATTTAGTGTTGTTTTCTGGTAATAAACCAGCCATATTGTTTTATTTATTCTTCCGGGCTGCACACAAGCACTTCTCCGCACAAAGAAATACCCGGCTTACGAGCAAATCCTTTTGTGTTCTGCGGTACCGAATGGCAGAGCACGCTGGATGCAAAGTTCACCCCCCTCCAAATCTCAGAGCAAGGGACCGCAGGGCAGAGCTTTACAAGAAAGCTGGTAAATCCATACAACCACCCAGAGGCTGATGTTGTACTGCTCATTGCATTCCCATTTACAAAGTGCTAAAGATTTTCCGGGAGGCGGGAAGCAAACTGAGGAAGCAGGTACTTCGCTCCATCCTGTGCAGCGGCACAAGCTACTTGAGGAGTAGGTGCGTGGCTGATCTTTTGTTCACCACTAAAAGGGATAAATTATGTGTGGGAGGAGGGGAAGGCTCTTTTTGTTTTTACCTTGAAGCAATTAATGAACAAGAACCATCCTGAGGCTCTTCGCGTCATACGAGAGAAGCATGCAGAGGTCAACTCCAGACAGGAGGCTGGCTTTCCAAACGCTGACTTTGTGACAGCTCAAGTCCTTGGTATTCTTTGTAGTTTTCACCCCGAGATAGCTCAGGCACATTATTTTCCCCGAGGCAAAAATACAAACCTCTCTCACCTCCCTAAACCACCATCTTTTACCACTTCTTCAGCAGCAAGAACCATGTGGCAGAATTCAGGCTCCTGCTCTCTTGATAGATGCTCCAGGTCATAATTAAGCCCAAATTTAAAATTTTCTTTGTCCTAGATAAGTGATAAGAAAAAGGAAATATTGCCCAAACAGCACAGAAACACACACAATGTTTAGCAGCATCTCACTTAGTAGGGCAGGTCACTATGGAAAATAACCTGTCTCCATGGGTTTTCTGGAAAGTTTGCCCGTTTCCCGCACACAGTGAATAAGCCACTTCTGGAGACTGAGCATCTCCATCAAGGGGCCTCTAACAAGCTTGAAATCATCCAGGTGGCTTCTCACGGACTTCAGCGGGCAAGGGGGCAGGTCAGCAGTCAGTCCTCGCGACCCAGGCATGCCGGGAAGTTTACATCCACAGAAAGCCTATAGAAACCAGGGATCATCTGAGCTGCTACGTCCAAGCAAGGTGCGGTGACATTGTCAGTGCTACACGGCCAAATTAACTGGGCTAACCAACTCCAAATGTACCTTCCCTCCCTGTAATACCTCTTTCACCTGCTCCCCATCTTCCCATTTGTATCTGTGCTGCTGTGCATCTAACACCAGCTTCTCCCCTCCTCTCAGAGAAGCCTTTGATGCACGGGGCGGGCAGCCTCACGCGGTCTCATTAGCAAGCTGACGGCCTTCTGCACGTTTTGGAGAACGCTTCATCACCACGTATGCGGAGGCCGCTCTGTTTCAGACAGCCCAATCGATCATGCCAAATAACTAAATTACCTGACACGCCGTAATCACCCATATTTATATTGCAGGCGGTTTCTTATCAGACACAGTTCATTACAAAGCAAGCTAGAAATTCAGATGCACAACCACAACTATTGCCAGGACTCTATTAATTTGGACGAGCTTCAAAGAGGGTCCTATGGGTGAAAACCCCTCTCTCATCACCAGACACAGGAGTCACACCGTCCCAATTAGGCAAGGGACATTAAATGCCTTTCTGCCGCACTCAGAGGTGTGCAACACAGCAGGAACCCAGTGGCTCAATTATCTGCATCTTCACCGCCTGCAGAAGTTTTAGGAGAAAGATGCCACCGTGCCACACACCATCATGCCACCACCTCCGCTGGGCTTGTGTAAAAGCTGCCCCCCTTTAACTGCAACAGCATCCTAGCCCCACTACCAGGGTTACACTGGTAGCTAGTAGCACTTCTGCATGGGTAGGCTTTGGACTGTGCGTATTCATGGAGATTTGGCCACATACAAGAGTGGAAACGCACTCTGCACAGAGACTGAACCACGATAGCCACTTTTGGAGAAAGCACACCCCCAACAAAAACCAAGCCATGGGGCAAAAATATACCTGAAGATATTCTGCCTTTTCTAGCCTTCTGAGAAAAGTTCATGATTGTCCTGCTCCCTCCTCCGCCATCACACAAACGCCCCCAGCTTTACCGGATTGTATCACACAGCATTTTCCTCCTCTTTCTTTTTTGGAATCCCCAGGAGC